AAGAGTGGTCAAGCATTGGAACAGGCTGCCCAGAGAGGTGGTGGAGTCAGCATCCCTGGAGGTGTTTAAAAAACGTGTAGATGTGGCACTGTGGGACATGGTTTAGTAGGCATGGTGATGTTGGGTTGATGGTTGGACTGATGATCTTAGAGGTCCTTTCCAACCTTAATGATTCCTAGTTTTACTTTCATTAAGAAATAATCCAGCCACAAAGCCAGGAAACATGAAATTAAGTATTACTCTCCCCTTAATTTGTTTAGTGGTGGACTTGCTTAGGTTAGGTTAATGGTTGGATTTGATGATCTTAAAGGTCATTTCCAACCTAAACGATTCTATGATTCTATGACTTTACTGAACCCTGCCTCAAGAACCCATTTCCATCTTTGCTTACACCACCTTCTCTCAAGTGATGATGCTTTCCTCATATGAAGTTGTGCCTTACCTGCTGCATTTTTTCCAGGTCAAGGCTGGGCCTGCTGACCTTATCCCCGTATCCTTGTCGATGTCTCTTACAAGGCATGACTTGCTCAAGGCCTGCCCCAACACTTGTGAAGATTAAAGGTCTGGAGGCTGGGCTCCGCACCAGGGGCTGGAGTCTCTTGGGAGGGGAGGCACTGAACAGCACGGGGCTTGGGCTGGCATGCAGGCCATCGGCCTGCTCTGCCACAGGCCGGAAGGACATAGCGCACAAGTTCTTCACTTCTTCGTCACTGGAGGAGGTGTTGTTGCTGTCGCTGCAGCAGGCAAGCCTGCTGACCTGGGACCACTTTCGCTTCTCAGCAGCAAACTCTCGGTTGATGCGCTCCAGCTCCTCTTCCGAGCTGTGGCGGTCAAGGCTGGCATGGAAGAGGGCCCGAACCTTGCAGCATTGGTTCTCCTGGTTCTGGAGCTGGTTGGTGGCCAGAGGGGTCAAGGTACAATTCCGTCTTCTCTCTGGGTGAGGAGGAGATAGAGGAGTGGCAGAACAGATCTGCATCCCACACCATAATAAACTGGGCCTGCTTTCTCCTGACCTGTTTTTTTTACCTTCTCCCAAGTAAATTTCTGAGCTGCTTTCTGCCTTTTTTTCCCCAGAAGAAACACCCCCCCAGCTGAATGCCTCCCTTTGGATGTTTCCAGAGCTTTTAGACCAGACTGCTAGACATCCCCTTGCAGACTGTCACCTGGAAGTCTAGTTGCAGAGCAAGAACACAGACCTGCCACCCACCTCATCCCCTGAAGGTGAAGAAGACACTATCTTGCAAATGTGTTGTTAGCCACTTACCTCTAGCTAGACATATTACATTCTACTGACCAGTTCTCAGGGCAGAGGTTGTAAGTTAGCTACATTATTCTAAGCAGTACATCTGTGGCTCAAATAATACAGATCTGGTTTCTGGAGGTAAAGGTCCTCTTTCTATTACAAGCCTTGCCATACAAGAGAGTCTCTCCCTTCAGCCATAAGCTGGGAATGCTCTGCCTGTTCTGCTGAGCTCTTTCCATGTTAAGCATGTGGAGGAGGGATTTGAATTTCAACAGGACATATCCTGTGGGTCAGGAATTTAACTTCTGCCTTTGCTTAAGAATCCACTTGAATTTGGCTAAGTTATGATAAAACACAGGGCATGCACAAATGACAGAGGTTTAGCATAGCTCAAGAGATGCATTTACTACAGATTTCACCTACAACTCTAAGCTGCTTCATATCAGGTCCAAGAACAATAGCAGAGCACCTGTTTCTCCTCTGTGAAAGATCCTCAGCTAGATTCAAGAATAGGGCTGCCCAATACCAACGGTACAGGAAGAAGGGAGCAAGCTAATCAGGCAAGTGAGTCCAGGGGAATGAGGAAAGGGACAGTCAAAACTGGAAATTACAAGGAAGAGAAAACCTAGAACAACGATGACACAGGTACATAAGCATGGAATAAAAGATAAATTTTCAATCCCAGCTCTGCTGCTGGCCTGACTGTTGACCTTCTCTGCCCCATGTCTGCAGCACAGGGACCTTAACATGTGGTTAACAATGTCTATCTCTGGTAAGAAAAGTGTAGCTGCAGCATCTGGTAACAACAGCTTCTCCCTGAGAGGTCCCAAAGACTTCAAGGTGACTGACTTAATGCATCTGGTTGTGGTACACTGGGGACAGAGGAAGCACTTCCAAGAGTACAAGTGAAAAGCAAAATGGACTTCAGCTGTGGCATCCCAGGACCCTCCTATCTCATCCCTTTACCTCTGTCGATCTGAGCAAGTTCCTGGTTCTCTCCCTCAGAGTCGTCGCTGTCCTCATCACTTGGGGGGTAGGAGATCTAGGGGGCAAGGAGAAAGAAAGGCTTCATCATGAACACTGAACATTGCCCTGCTGCTGCCCAAGCCACTTCCCCCACCCTCTCCCTCTCATATCCTGTAGGCATCCACCCCAACTAACCACACACACACAGCCATAGGACCTTCCTGTATACATATCCTCATCTCCTGTCCTGGTGTCAGCTGGGATAGAGTTGATTTTCTTCCTAGTAGCTGGTATAGGGCTGTGTTTTGGATTTAGTATGAGAATAATGCTCATAGAAACAACTAAAACTTCGGTGTGCTAAGTAGTGTTTATACTAGTCAAGGACTTTTCAGCTTCCCATGCTCTGCCAGATACACAAGAAGCTGGGAGGGAGCACAGCCAGGACAGCTGACCCAAACTGACCAAAAGGCTATTCCATACCATATGACATCATACTCAGTATATAAACTGGTGGGAGTTGGCCAGGGTGGCAGCAACTGCTGCTTGGGAACTGGCTGGGTATCGGTCAGTGGGTGGTGAGCAATTGCATTGTGCATCACTTATTTGGAATATTACTATTTTCCCTTCCTTTTCTGTCTTATTAAACTGTCTTTATCTCAACCCACAAATTTTACTTTTTTTTTTCCCCCCCAATTCTCTCCCCCATCCCACTGGGGAGGGGGAAAGTGAGCGAACAGCTGTGCGGTGTTTAGATGCCTGCCAGGTTAAACCACATCTCCCAACCTCAAACTCCCATCGTATCCTCTTCCTTGCAGCAACACAAAACACACAGCCTACCACTATTTCCACCTTACTGCACCACCAACTATTTCCCACGCACAA